CATACCCATCCTATCCTGGCCAGAGCAGTGCTCTTGTCCCAGGCAGTTACTGTGAGGGTGAAATCAGCTATCACTACGATTCACCAAAGTTGCTTCACAGTACTTCACAATACTCAAGGAAGGAAGGGAGAAAGAAAGCAATTTGGGAAGACAGGAGCCATCTAGTTTGCATCCTCCACCCAAGAGAATGTCAAGAGATCTAGAGCATATAATTCGTACTGATTCCTCCCACTCTTACTTGTTTAAGGCAGGATTTACAGGCTTGTTGTGATTTGAAGTGTGTGTGTGTGTGTGTGTGTGTGTGTGGTGGGGGGAGGCAAGGGGTTGTATGTGTGTCTATCCAGAAACACTGGTGTGTATGAGCCTCCACGGTTCACAATAGGGAGGGAATGCCTCAGTTCTATCTACATCACAAGTGTGGCTGCTCCACAAAGGAAAGGCTTATTCATGCCAACGTGGTAGATTACACAGAGGGCTGAAAACCTGTGTGCTCTTGAGACAAGGCAGCTTGTGCAGTTGTGGCAAGAAAAAAAAGTATCCCTCATAGCCAAAACCACAAAGCCAACTTGTGTTCAGCAAGACTGCTATTATTCATCCTCTGAAGGACTAAAGAATAAGTAAATGCACTAAGCCACACCTTGAAAAGTCATGGCAGAGTGGCAAGCCACAGCTTGATGGAAGCATTACAAAAGAGAGCGAGAATCACGTGTGCTAATCTAAATCACTCCACCTCAGGACTGAGGACTTTCCATATTCCTCCAGCAGCAACCGCTTCAAAAATCCCACTTTCCCTAATAAAACCTTCCTAACAAAAAACCTGATAAACCATACACTTAAAATAAGCATACATTCATTCTTAAGCATGCTGCTTGCTGCATGTGTGTGTGTGTGTCTTTGTATATGCATGGGCTTTGATGTATTTATCCCTATTACTCTTTTCACTTCAGATGTTAAGTCCTAGAAGACAGAGACCATATCTAACTTATTTTACATTCTCCCAGAATCTAACCACAAGCCTCATGAGGTTGCAATAATAAGCCTTATTTACTGCTGACACTAAATAGCTTTCAAAAGAAATTCATGGAAAACCATGTTTTCAAATGGGAGCCTTTCTGAAAGGGTCATAATCCACCTTAATTCCAACATGTACGTATTCAATATTATTATGTACAGAGTCCCAAATGCATCTCCAAAGCTAACTTGCCTGTCTATAACCAGAAACATAAAAGGGAAAACATTCTCAGAAGCCCATGAGGTAACTATTAAAAGCCATACCCACCTCTTAAGGTTCATGTTTAAAATTATCCCAGGCTGCTATCAACATGTATTGAAGCCTAATACACATCTAAACATCATTGCTATCTTGATTTCAAACACAACTTCATATTATAACCGGGAATTTAGTTTTTCTTTGCCTTTAAACCAAAGCGACACCTCATGATAGAACTATTTCATAGTTGCCAAGACACTAAAGTTATAGGAGTCTCTTTTCCAGGGTAAAGAGCCCTAGTATTACAAAGCCCTGTACTGAAAAGGGATTAATGGGTTCACCGTGTAGTTGGAGTCCCCATCATATTTCTTCTTCGAGGCTGTACTTTTAACAAGGAGACAAACACCTCAGTGCCAGCAATCTGCTAGGACGCTTTCTTAGACATAAGCTCCTGAAGGGCACAGGTACTGGCACATAGCATGTACTCAGCTTACAGACAATCAAACCAACTAATCACATATGAAGACTCACTCATATTGTATAAACAATCAAATATCAGCTGTAAAATGTATAACCATTATTCAAATATTCATGACTATACCAAAACTATAAGGTAGATGTAGGTTTTCTGATAACATGGAAGATGGTTCTATTTTCTACCAGCTGCTGATGCCTGGTAACCAGCCAGCATCTCAGGTAGGAATAGCAACTCAGAAGAAAAGAAAGGCAAGTGTCACCTGACGCTCCAGGGCTCATGTGCCAAGCCCTGCCACAGCAGATCCTTCTGAGAACTACCCAGGCACACAACTGTCATAAGGGACCACAGGACCACTCCTCTTTGCTGGGCTCAGCTTTGCCCTAGTGAAAAAGCAGTCAGGAGTAAAAAGGCATCTACTTTCCAAAGTTATACACTGAATTAGGGGGACAAAAATGGAACAAATGTGTTTGCTGAATTTTGAGTACACACCAGCTGCATTGGAAATCACTTCATAGCTGAGAACCATGGGAGGGTGAGAAGCATTTCTGACATCACTTAGAATTACCAAGGCAGAAAATAACTTTTTCTTTTTTTTGAGATGGAGTCTCGCTCTGTTGTCCAGGCTGGAGTGCAGTGGCATGATTTCAGCCCACTACAAGCTCTGCTTCCTGGGTTCACGCCATTCTCCTGCCTCAGCCTTGCGAGTAGCTGGGACTACAGGCGCCTGACACCACACCTGGCTAATTTTTTTTGTATTTTTAGTAGAGATGAGGTTTGACCATGTTGCCCAGGCTGGTCTCGAACTCCTGACCTCAGGTGATCCACCCGCCTCGGCCTCTCAAAGTGCTGGGATTACAGGTGTGAGCCACTGCGTCCGGCCAGAAAGTAACTTTTATACACAGCTGCTTATGTTATAGAGAGAGAAATGGAGGAGCGGAAGGATAAAGAGACACATCCACGTCCCACTACAAGTCAGTGACTGAGCCAGGACTGAACTCCACAGCTCATCAATTCCCAGATTTGTGATCTTTCCTCTATGCCACACTGCCGCTAAGAGCTAAACACACATACTATAATACACAAAAATCTCACACAGTATACGTGAACCTATCAACTACAGAAACCCAAGTATTGATCTTATTTCCAATAGTTGTCACAGGGCTTAGTTTATACCAATGTCACCTCCTCTAAAACAAACTAATATTTAAGGAGCAAAGCTAGACAGACAGTATTAAAGCCTGGAAAAGACCCTTGAGGCTCCTCTAAAAAGCAAAACCTCATCTAAACATGACAATTTATAAAGCAACTTATTCTATCCTAGTTCCCGCAATGCTGGTTAAAGAACGAAATACAAGGACATATTCATTAAGTGTAGATCATTGAATGCAAGGGAAAACCAAATCATAAGATCAGTTAGCTGGGGCACTGCATACAGGTCTCCCTCAAATGGGTAAGTGAAACTCAATTTCTCATGGTTTGTAAAAGTAAAGACACAGAACCTTTGTGGATGTGAAAGTTGAAATGAGATGTCTGAATTCAGAGGAAGATTAGCCATTCATTATGTCTATTTTGTGCTTCTTAATTGGCTTGTTCCAATTCTTTGAAGGAAAAAAAAAATGTCTTACATTTATCCCTCAGTCTATAAAACGGGAAATAAAAAACTCGTAACTCCAAAACAGATCATTGTGCTCCAGTGTCTGACCTTAGCTGACAAGCTATGGCTATCTTCTCAGTTGGCTGCCATAAAGCCTACCAGCAAAATGTCAGATTTCCAAATGTCCCTTGCTCTTGGGGAAGGAATAAGCTAAAACAATGTGGAGACCAAATCCAACTGGCCTTGAGTTCAAATCCCCACTCCAAAACCAGATTAAGAACAGTTATAACAGTGTCGTATACTTATTTGCCACTGAACAACAATTTTTTGAACAGAAATAAAAGTATCCAAAGAGAAAATAAATTTTCAACTTAATGAAAAGATTCATCTTCGCCAATAAGAAGGTACATCTGAAAACACATATCAAATTTCTTCCCCAAAGGCACCCATCTCCCTTCTTTGGTTAGGAGATGGTTCTACTGTGTTAGCTATCTGGCCACTGAAGTAAAAATTAGATGTTATAATAAAACAAGTTAGTCACCAGCATCTCTGAAACAAAAGTCCAAGAGAATTGGACATTTTCCCAATGAGAGTTTTCCCAAGGAAAAAACATCAACACACAATGGGAAACAACCCTTTGACAGAAATTCACTTTATTGTAACCACTCTCAGAATCACACGGTCCATTGTGATGAGATGCACCCTGAATATAAGGGGCTCAGACACAGCAGGGATCCACTTCCCCTGCTGTTTTCAGCAGAGTGGAAACAGCTGTCATACGACTCAACATCTGCATCCTCACCAGCACCAAGTCCTTATCATTGGAGCTCAGGACTCACCAAACTCACTTTCCTCCTAAAAGCTAACCAGAAAACAACTGTTTCTAGGCCCTCTTCACAGCTTTTTTTCTTCATTACTTGCAATTCTGGGATTTGCTGATAAAGTAACTACAGATTTTGATCTGCCGTATTCATGATTGGTCAGCAAGTGCACAAAATTCCTATCTAATCTCCCACCTGGGAGCAGGCTTTCTGGGAGGATAAAGGAAGGAGGAGGGCTTGGAACCCCACTGAAGTTGAAGAACACATAGAACCATTCTCAGTAAAGATCCGTTATTTCTCCCACTTGTTAACACTGTTTAAATCCTATGCTGAAACTTATTATTGTCCAGAATTGAAATCTGTATTGAGGACATTTTCTTGAGTTCTTGTTCCATTTCCTACTCAAAAAAAAAAAAAAAAAAAAAAAAAAGAAAGAAAGAAAAAAGAAAAGAAAAAGGGTTCATCCTTATGACTTCACAAAAAAGAGAATATTACCTTACAAATTTCTGCCCATTTGAAAATGTAACTGTTTTTAAAACTTTACTTTGGAGTAAAAGCCTGTTTTTAAAATTGCACTCTAAAAGAAAAATTTTTGTGAAAAGCAGATGATTAAGAATGCAATCTTAAAATTCCTATGCCTGCCCATGCTCACAACATCATTATAATAATGTTTTCATCCACAGAGGGCATCCCTAGAACAGAGGTCACTACTCTATTTAATGATCCTCTGTTAGAGGAAAACTGATGTGGTTAGTAAGGCATGTGGAACTTAACCTCAATTACATCAGAGTCTAATGGTTTCACAAATACAATTCTTAGTGAACTGTCAATCTATTAAGGAAAAAACATGGAGACTATCAGAGGGTGTCTACCAGAATGGAAGATCAAATTACCTACCTTGTGCAGAGGGAGGACAAGGAACGCTCCTCCCCCACTTGCCTCTATGATTATGGCAACAAATCTGGGATTGACAGCACAAAAGGAACTATCCCAGGTCACACGAGAAACCCGGATGTCATCATAGCACTGGTCATTTTTCACCGCTTGCCCAAATACATGCCGAAACTTGCTCTGTCGTACCACTCGCCTCATTGTGTCTGCAAAGGAAGAGTGAGAATTATGTTAGAATTGTGCACCAAACTGAAAAGCTTTACTTTTACAAATGAAACGTTCCAAGTAGGAAAAACAGAATGGTATGGCATTTTGTCTGCTCTCCTAAAAAGTAGCCAAATTGCAATCCAAATTTCTTTTAGCAGCACATATCCGGAGACAACTGCAAAATGCGTCAGGGAAAGAATTACAAAGAAATGAAAAATTCCTAATTCAAGATCCAGAAACAGCTCATCAGTTTTAATTTCAATGGAAAGATTAAGGGAAAGAATTAAAGAAAATAAGCCTTTCAGGGTTGGGTGGGAGCTGACAAATAACGCGCTTCAACCCTTCCCCTTTTACAGATAAGAAAACTCCAAAGTGAAATTCGCTGGTAGAGGTGACGCTGAAGAAAGCCGAAAAACAAGTTATAATTTTGTGGCTTTGTCCTCAGCCTGCCAAGGTAATTTTTCAGATTGTAAACATTTTCCCTACACATCAACACTCTGCTGTCTGAGAATTATATCTATTCCCCAGAGTGTTTCAACAAGAATAACTATGGGAGGAATTCAAAGACACAGCCATCACCCTTGACTTCAAAAGCCTTCTAATCTCCGTTTAACACAGACGTAATAATCAGAGCAACTCACTACACCAAACCGCCTAGTGCTAAGTGGTACACAGTGAGAAACAGGAAAAGTCAGCCTAAAGCAGCCTAACGGGTAAGAGCCAGGTCTGGGAAAAGCAGAGCAAAAGTATTTAAATGGAAAGCAATGTGATCAAAGTGATGTTTAGGGTGACAGCAAATGTGGCAGAAGCACACTGGACGGCTTAGACAGGAACAAGCTCAAAGCCAGGTACTGGGCTAGGAAGCTATTTGACAGTAAACCAGACTTGAGGAAGGCCTGAAATGATACAGTAATAAGAGTTGGGACCGAGGAAAGGAAAAATGCAGGGGCTATTGTGGAGGGGAAACAAAACCAGGCTGGGTTTTCACTGAGCTGATCATCCACCACAGCCACTTCCCTAGTAAACCAGGGCTCTGAAGGGGAGGGGAGGTGACACAGAGCTAGGTTCCTAGGCTGCCTTATGTGTCATTTCAGACTCCAAATTCCACTAAATTGCCTGATAGACACTGACAGCTTTGTGCTTTTGGATCACCAGGCCCTCCCTGATTAAGATTTCCTAGACTGCACCCAATGTAATTTTCCTATGTGCTACTGCAGGACATTGTGTTCATGTTGGTTAGATAGAAGGATCCTGGATAAAAATCTAAGTGGAAATGGAACATGCTTCAAAATCGACAACTCAGCTGAAAATCAGATCCTCATATACAGAGGAGAGCTAACACCTGTCCATTCATGCCAGACGGGACACATGGTGGGCTGTTGCTAATTCTTTTCCTCTAATTCCCTTCCTCATGGCCCTGAGCCCACTGCTAAATGCAGAGACGAATTTATTTTTGCCAGAGTCTCTTACCCTTCCAAGGCATGTGTGAAAGTGGCCTCTCTCCAATGCTGGGGGCATGTAGCTGGGCTGAAGTAACAGACCCTTGGCAGGCAATTGAGCATCCACGTTCCTCAGCCCAGCTGTTATTGCCTGACTTTCCCAATTGACTACCAGGGCCATATATTTTGAGTCTTTGGTAGAGGAGATGGCAAATGATATGCGGCCAGGGTCCTTCATTTTGGAATCAGTTTGAATACTTCTTAAGCGTGAGATAAGACAGCTTCCGTGAGGTGGTGAAAAGCAAAAGGAAAGCACATCTATACAAAAGCCAACGTACAGCCAACTGGTCTCGGGATCCACTTCCCCACACAACCATCTGCAACCATCTGTACAAGTTATAGAAGCTGCAATCCCCACAAGCATCTTCAAGCAAGTGTTTCAAAAGTTAATGTAGAAGAAAAAGGATTGCACCATGCCAGAATTAACATCCTTCATAAATAAAACGTTCTTACAAATTCATACAATTAAAACTCAACAGAAAATTAGGCAAAGGATATGAAGAAGTAATTTACAAAAGAAACACAAACAGCACTTATCTCCTTCCTAAAATCCTAATAAAATGAAAGCAGGGAAAAACTTGAAAGGACAAGAGGACTGGAAAAGAGCTTACAAGAGAGCAAATGTGACAACAAACTTTTGAAGATGGAAAGCTGTCATGCACATGTAACTGACAGAAGTGTGAGTGTCCTCTATTCAGCTGAGTCTCAGGAGGAGCTCACAAAAAGGACATCAAGGCCCACTGTGAATCCCCAGAACACTCTAAGGAGAAATTGTGTCTCCAAAGACAGGGATGTGGGAGGGGGCTGCAGAGAAAATGACTGAAAGCCTGAATTAGGAGCAGCTGGACACCCAGATCCGCTCCATTCAGGGCTGCACAACCAGGGAATTGGCCTGCCCTCTCCCCAGCAGAAGCCAGGATAGGCCTGACTGTAGGCCCTGGACTGGATGACACCCAGCACAGGTGTGAACAGGTGCCTCACTGACAGCCTGGTTCTATACAGTGGGGCCCCCAACCCCTTGTCGCTCCTGGCTCCCAAGATATCACCTGCCCCACCCAACAACAGATCAGACATCACTGCCCTCAGTGAGGTCCACCATTCAATGTGCCCCTCCACCCACACAGGCATAAGGTCAGCTTTTAGAACCTCACTTTTAAATGTGAATGGATATTTGAGGAAGGCCTCTTACTTGAAAAAGAGACAATTTTTCCTCTTCACTCAAATAGGCCAGATACCCTCTAACCTCACAAAAATATGAACATTAATATAAATATTCAAAATGCTTTGTCTTCACTGAAAGATACTATACAAATCTTCTGGCTGACATACATACTAAACTACCTTAAAAAGTGATTTCCACCAGGCGCAGTGGCTCACACCTGTAATCTCAACACTTTGGGAAGCTGAGACGGGCGGATCAGGAGATCAAGACCATCGTGGCCAACATGGTGAAACCCCATCTCTATTAAAAATACAAAAATTAGCTAGGCGTGGCAGCAGGCGCCTGTAATCCCAGCTACTCAGGAGGCTGAGGGAGGAGAATTGCCTGAACCTGGTAGGCGGAGGCTATAGTGAGCCGAGATGGTGCCACTGCACTCCAGCCTGGGCGACACAGAAAGATTCCAACTCAAAAAAAAAAAAAAGTTATGTCCATATTATGCAAACTTATTTTTGTCCTAAATACATGTGGACAGAATGATATAAAAGTTCTTTTGCTACAATCACAGAGTAGAATGTTAGCTATAGAGCAGAGAGAGTAGGAAAAGTCAGTGCTTCCACAGTGCTGTGCTAAGTCAGGCATCTCTAAGCGGAGCTTGAAGGGCAGCGTGAGCCCATTCACTTCCAAGGTCAAATCTGATCTGGGCTCAGCTGTGTACATGTGGCATAGCCGCTTTTCTTGCACAGAATGTCTCAGGCCCTCCAGGCACACAATAGAGAATAGCAATTAAGAGAGCAAACTCCAGAGTCAGACAGCCTTGTAAGTGAGAAGTACAGCTGTACTATTTACTTCCTGGCCATGGTACAGTACAGCAAGTCACTAAATCTCCATTAAGTGTTAATTCCTCTATCCAAAAATGGGTATAATGCATATAAGGTTGAAGTGATCATTAAATGATCAATTGGTGATGGGATGGTGGCAGGAGATTTTTATGCTATAATAGTACCTTGTACGGTTAAATACACAAAATTAATCACTCAATAAATACTAGCTACTACTGTCATCCTAGTAACTGACATAAGATAATCTGGATTCAAATCCGAGCTCTGCAACATATTAGCAAATTACTTAACCTCTCTGAGCCTCAGTTTCCCATCCACAAAATGAAGGGAATGATACCTATAATAAGAATGCAGGCCGGGCATGGTGGCTCCCAGCACTTTGGGAGGCTGAGGAAGGCAGATCACTTGAGGTCAGGAGTTCGAGATCAGCCTGGGCAACATGGTGAAACCCAGTCTCTACTAAAAATACAAAACTTAGCCAGGAGTCCCAGCTACTAGGGAGGCTGAGGCATGAGAATTGCTTGAACCTGGGAGGCGGAGGTTGCAGTGAGCCGAGATCACGCCACTGCACCCCAGCCTGGGCGACGGAGCAAAGCCTTGTCTCAAAAAAAAAAAAAAAAAAAAAAAAAAAAAAAAAAAAAAAAAAAAAAAGAATATAAACCAACCGCAGACAAAGAAAGCCCAGACCCAGATGACTTCACTGCTAAAGTCTATGAAACATTTAAAAAATACCAATTACTCACAAATTTTTTCCAAAGATAGAGAAGGGAACACTTCCAAACTAATTGTATGAGGCCAGTATTATCCTGTTACCAAAACCAAACAAAGACATCTCAAGAAAATTACAGACCAATATCTCTTATGAATACAGATGGAAAAAATCCTCAACAATACCAGCAAACCAAATCAAGCAACGTAGAAAAAGAATTAGAATTATACACCACAATCAAGTGGGATTTATCCTAGAAATGCAAGGTTGGGTCAACATCTGAAAATCAATTAATGTAACACATTATATCAATAGAAGAAAAAAAATCACACAATTATCTCAGACACAGAAAAAGCATTTGAGGCTGGGCACAGAGGCTTATGCCTGTAATCCCAACACTTTGGGAGGCTGAGGCAGGGGGATTACTTGAGGTCAGGAGTTCAAGACCAGCTTGCTCAACATGGTGAAACCTTGTCTCTACTAAAAATATAGAAATTAGCCAGGTATGGTGGTGAGCACCTGTAATCCCAGCTACTCAGGAGGCAGAGGCAGGAGAATTGCTTGAACCCGGGAAATAGAGGTTGTAGTAAGCTGAGACAGTGCCACTGCACTCCAGCCTGGGCAACAGAGTGAGACTCTGAATCAAAAAAAAAAAAAAAAAAAAAAAAAAAGCATTTGACAAAATTAAATACCCTTTCATGACAAAACACTCAAGAAACTAGGAATAGAAGGGAATTTCCTCAACCTGATAATGAGCATCCATGAAAATACCACAGCTAACTCAATATTCAATGGCGAAAGATGCCTTCTCCCTGAGATCAAGAATAAGACAAGCTTGACCACCCTTGCCACTTCTATTCAGGATTGTAGTACATGTTCTAGCCAAGGCAATCAGGCAAGAAAAAGGAATAAGAGACATTCAGATTGGAAAGAAGTAAAACTATTTCTGTGTGCAGAAGACATGATCGTATATACAGAAAATCCTAAGGAATCCACTAAAATAACTAGTAAGTTCAGTAAGGTTGCAGGATACAAGATTAATATACAAAAATCAACCTTTTTTTTTTTTTTAGATGGAGTCTTGCTCTGTCACCCAGGCTGGAGCGCAGTGGTGCAATCTCGGCTCACTGCAACCTCCGCCTCCAGAGTTCAAGCGATTCTCCTGTCTTAGCCTCCCGAGTAGCTGGGACTACACCACACCCGACTAATTTTTGTATTTTTCGTAGAGATGGGGTTTCACTATGTTGGTCAGGCTAATCTTGAACTCTTGACCACAGGTGATCTTCCTGTCTTGGCCTCGCAAAGTGCTGGGATTACAGGCATGAGCTACCATGCCTAGTTGTATTTTTACAAACCCAGAAGAAACAATCCAAAAATGAAATTAAGAAAACAATTCCACTCACAATAGATTAGAAATAAAATACTTAGAAATAAACTTAATCAAGGAGGTGAAAGACTCGTACTCTGAAAACTCAAAACACTGTTGAAAGAAATTAAAGACACAACTGAATGAAAAGAAATTCCAAGTTCAAAAATCAGAAGACTTAGCGTTGAGATGGCAAGATTCCCCAAACTAAGATATAGATTTAATGCAATCCCTATCAGACTCCCAGATGAATTATTTGTAGAAATGAATGAAGGTATTGCAAGGGATCCAAAAATACCCAAATGACCCTGGAGGGAAAAAAGAGAACAAGTTAGGAAGACTCCTATTTCCTGATTTCAAAACTTACCTCACTACAAAGCAACAGTAATCAAGACAGTGTGGTACTGGAATAAGGATAGACATTTATATCAATGGAAAATAATTAAAGTCCAGAAGTAAACTCATACATCTTTGGTCAACTGATTTTCAAAAAGAGTGCCAAGACAATTCAATGAAAAAACTCTTCTCAACAGATGGTACTGGAACAATACGTAAAACAGCTAACTCAAAACAGATCAAATACCTAGACATAAGAGCTAAAACTATAAAACTCTGAGAAGAAAACACGGGAGTAAATCTTCATAGCCTTGGATTGGGCAAAGGATTCTAAGATATGACACCAAAAGCACAAGCAACAAAAGAAAAATTAGAAAACCTGATTCCATCAAAATTTATAACTTTTGTGCCTCAAAGGACACTATCAAGAAATTGAAGACAACTCATAGAATGGGAGAAAACTTTTGCAAACCTTATATCCGATAAGGCACTTGTACCTAGAATATATAAAGAACTCCTACAATTCAATAATAAAAACACAGTCCAATTTAAAAATGAATCAAAGGACTTGAAGACATTTTCCAAAAAAGATATACAAATGTCCAATACACATGAAAAGTTGCTGGACATCATTAATCAATGGAGAAGTGAAAATCAAAACCACAATGAGAGACTACTCCATACCCACTAGGATGGTTAAAATAAAAAATTCTGAGAATAACAAGGGTTGATGAGAATGTAGACAAATCAGAATCCTCATACACTCCTAGTGGAAATGCAAAATGTTGCAGCTCATGTGGGAAAGTCTGGCAGTTCCTCAAACAATTAAACAAAG